CACAGCGAGCATCACAGCATTTTGTTAGAAATATTACCTTAAAATCCTACAAGTGCTGCTGCCATCGTGAAACTTGAAAAATGTTATCCCGTGTATAATTCAATTTAACATGCTGTGTAATGTATGTACTTATACTTTATATGTGGATTTTGTTGTGGTTTGTCCCTCTTCTAAAACCACACACAAAATATCTAAAATTGTGTCAGCGGAACAAAAAATGGGGAGGAGGGCTCTGAACCGGCTTTCCAAACCGGCGCGCAAAGACCGCTCTTCCGTAAACCTCCGGTTGTCACAGCTTCCTAAACAAGCGGGATCGCCTTCCTCCCCGCCCGGCTGCAAACCCAACCCCACACCCGGTCTTCATTCACTATACGAAAACATTTTTTAAACCTATGAAAGGGGCTGGTCAGTGTTGGGGCGGGCGCGCACCGGACGGGGAGCGGACGCTTCTCCCTCCTTCCCCTCTTCACTGTCCGTAATGTCAGAAGGCGGGGAGGGCAGTAGTACAAGGGTCCCCATCGTGTGCATGCCATCCCGGGCACTTCTCTTTTGGGGCCGCGGTAGCTAAATATCACCGTGAGAAGTGTCCGTCGGGCCGCCCAGAGTAACCTGCCTGGTGCGCGGGCAAAGCTGGCGCGTTGACCTGGACTCAGAAAGGGCAGGAAAATAGAAGCTCTCTAACTGGACGACTGAGGACGTTGTTTTGCCCTCAGAAACCTGAAGCTGCTCGGCACGATCCCGGTGATATCCAGGGGTCGTGGGTTTCCAAGCTCAGAGAATGTCGCCCTCCTTGGAGGGGTTTACAGGGAACCTCCCCAGTGAGGGCGCCCTGGGAGCCAAGCTGTCCGTTTCCCAGGTCACTGTCCTTCCTGTCTAGTTAAAGGTTTACACAGCTCATCGGCCAAAGACACTTTCAATTTGCCTCCTGAAGTTTCTGCGCTCTGGGGCCAACTGTAATGTCAAATCAACCACCCTCCCCCTCACCTGGCTCCCTCTGATGGTGTGAGTGTCGGAAAAGGAGCTAGACAATAATTTTAGTAACTACTCTAATTTTTTTAATGTTTATTTTTTTAATTGTTTTAAGTTTATTCATTTTTGAGAGAGAGAGAGTGTGTGAGCAGGGGAGGGCCAGGGAGAGAGCCAGTTTCAGGCACAGAGCCCCACAACTGGGAAGATCATTACCTGAGCCACAGTCCCATGCTTAACCAACTTAGCCACCCAGGTGCCCCTAAAATGTTTATTATTTTTGAGAGAAAGAAAAAATAATGAGTGCAGGAAGGGCAAAGAGAGAGGGGGAGAGAGAGAGAGGATCATTCCCGGGGGGCCTTGTGCTGACAGCAGAGAGCCCCACAAACCCTAAAATCATGACCTGAGCCAAAATAGGTCACTTAACCAACTGAGCCACCCAGGTGCCCCTCTATTTTTTTAATTAACCCAGGATAAATTCAAATAATGTAAACCTTGGGGTGGGAGGGGGAGTTAATTCTCAAGGCAAATATTATTGGGCCCTTTCTTCAATGATCTGCACCAAGGTTCTGACTTTTATAGGTGCCTGAGCATTTGCCCCCAGAGATTGTTTCTGGAAAAAAAGGGAAGAAGGAACTCACGCAACAAACAGAAGTTAGCAGTAGTCTCTCTTAGAAGATGAATAGCACAGTCTACGGCCATACCACCCTGAACGCACCAGATCTCATCTGATCTCAGAAGCTAAGCAGGGTCGGGTCTGGTTAGTACTTGGATGGGAGAAGATGAATAGCACAAAGATCTTTGTTATATATTTTTACACATTTCCCCATGAAACTTTACATACCACACTCCAACACACACACACACCCTACCACCCACTTCTCAGTAAACAAAACATTTGAGCAAGGACATGAGAATGAAGGGTCATTTCTTAATGTGGGAAACAGGTTTATGTAGGAACATGCTCAGAACATCCTTGGCCTGAGGGATGCCTGAGTCTGAAATGTTTGATGAGAAATAACCAGATCTTTGGGCAGATATGAATTGGATACAAATAAAAATTTAACTAGGTGTGTACACAGGCTTAGAAAAAGAATGTTAAAGAAAAAAACATACTATTCCATTTTATGTGAACTTAGGACCTTTTTATTCCTGATTATGTTTTCTCAGTATGTTGAACACATTGGTGGGGGATATTTGCCAGATTACTTCATTTAGTGGACCCAAGAAGTCATCCATCGAGTCAGCCTTCTCAGCTTTGCAATCAGGAAACAGAGCCCTGAAAGGTTGTCACTTGGAACTAAATTCTAAAGATATAAGCAGCTCTTGAAAGCCTACATTCAGGTCTAACCAGTAAGTAGCAGAATTGCCCTGTAAAACTTCTCTAGGCAGCTGTCCTTCACAGAGACTGTTGCAGTTACCCAAGAGCCCTAATTCTGGTGCATAAAGCAGTGCATCTGGGAATCCCTCCCTTGTCCTTTCTTCTCTCCCTCTTCCTGAATACTAGCCCTTCAGTTTTCTAATGAGGCACGTCTGGGGGGCGGGGGAGAGTGGTGAACTAAAGCAATAGGCTCTCCCTCAGGCAGCCCCATATGCACCAAATGTACAAATGTCCATTTCAGCTCAACCCTCCTCACTTGCAAGAGGTAGGAAGCTTTAGTTGAGTGTTAATAACATATGTGGCCCTGGTAACAAGAGGGAGAGTGACAAAGGGGAATGGAGCTCAAATCAAAGCAAAAGCCAGCTGCCCCTTCCTCTCTCTCTCTGTAGGCATAAGCCAGCACGTGAGCAGCCCCCATTGGAGGCAGGCAGGGGGGAAGTCAAGGAGAAAACACAAAAGGGGAGGCTTCTCTGATGGAGCTCTATTTTTTTTTAAGGTGAAAGAGATTCTTTTGAAATGGGAGCCTAGAATTTGAACCTCAATCCAAATGAAGACATGACATTATCTGTAGATATTACCTAATCTGCCATTGTGTAATTAACATTCATCTAAAAGAGGGGAGTTTTCTCTTTAAAGAATTAATTTTTAAAAAATTTTTTTTTGAATTTAGATGATTTTGGTCTAGCCAATCAGATGAATTAGATTTCATCAAAAAAAAAATTTTTTTTGGTTTCAGCACTTTTTGTTCCTCTCTGCTAAGATTTTTTTGTTCAGAAATTTGGACTCCTGCTGTATAAGAAATTTTTTTTCTTTTTTTTAAATAGTTTATTGTCAAGTTGGTTTCCATATAACACCCAGTGCTCATCCCCACAAGTGCCCTCTTCCATGGCCATCACCCCCCTTGCCCTCCCCACCACACCCATCAGTCCTCAGTTTATTCTCAGCATTCAAGAGTCTCTCATCGTTTGCCTCCCTCCTTCTCCCCCACTATTTCCTCCCTTCTTCTCCCCCACAGTCCTCCGTTAAGTTCCTCCTAATCCTCCTAAACGTGCAAACATATGATATTTGTCCTTCTCTGCCTGACTTATTTTGCTCAGCATAACACCCTCAAGGTCCATCCATGTTGCTACACATGGCCAGATTTCATTCTTTCTCATTGCCATGTAGTATTCCATTGTATAGATAAACCACATCTTCTTGATCCATTTGTCCATTGATGGACACTTAGGCTCTTTCCATGTTTTGGCTACTGTTGAGAGTGCTGCTATGAACATTGGGGTACATTCCTGCTGTATAAGAAATCTTAAGCCAAACAAAGTTCACCTAATCTGGAGCTGTGAGTGAAGTTTCTTCTCAAATGAGGCCGAGGTTTCTCAGCCTACAGTCCCCTCACTCCCAGCACAGACTACCTGAATCTCACAAATCCCTTGTCATCAGACTGCCCCTCTGCCCCTCTGTGTCTCTGCCCATCCTGCTCATCCCTTCTTCCCTTTCCTTCCAGGCAACCCTGCCTCCTGGTCCTTGATGCTTTTCTAATGAAGCCAGCTGTGCTAAGGCACAGCTTAAAAGTGTCTACTCCTGTAATTTGCATACCCCAACCTCATTATTACACTTCGTTTAGAAGTGTACTTCTTTCATTCACTTTTTTAAATCATTGAGGGTGGTAATTGGCAAAGTGGAAATTTCCCTGTACCTCACATCAGTTCTCTGTTAATTTATTCTTTGAAAAAAATTAAAAATAATAAACTTTCATCTTAGCACCTCCAACGTCACATTACAAAGCAGAATCAAGTGCAAAGATTACAAAAAGTTCAAAGTTAATCATGTCCTATTTGGAAGGAAAACCTATCTCTTTTGAGCATCACAGGCATGAAGTGGTACATTTCTGATTTAGTTAATAAGAGTCCAATTATATTTGAAATGTAGATTAATTCTCCTCAAAGCATTAATCAATTTGGCAAGGACACCTCAATAATAATGCAGTCTCTTTATTGTTCCATAGTAAGACTGTGCCCTCATGATTGTAATCAGCTTATTGATACAAATACCTCTTCCCTTCAGTTAATTCAAATAGACCATTTCATAGGTACTTTCAGCTGATGGGATGGTAAATAATTTTTAGACTAAAAGTTGAAGTGGATTGATTAGAAGCAATTTTTTCTGTTTTGCACAATAAAAAGATGAACTACATGGTTCGCCAAGCCAATTTGCAGAGCAACCTCTCCTCTCTAATTTGCCAGGCTAATGTAGTAGAAGCCGAGTCCTAGGAAGTACAGAAATCCATTTACCGAGCCATGACATTTAAGTAGCAAACACAAGTACTGGATTTTTCCATTACCCTTCATTTCAGCCCTGCTATGTTCCACCTGTGACCCTTATGTGATGAGGGCAATGCACTTTCATACAATTTGGTAACTATAATAAAGGTCCACTTCAAAATGTTTGAGAGCACACTAAAAACATTTTTGAGAAAACCATAATTAAGTCCATAACCAATCTCACTAATTCCTGATAATGTATTGGAAAACCAAATTATTTGATACATGCTCTAATAAATGCACATCATACCAGCGGAGGAGGAAAATAGCATATTTCCTCTATCCAAATAACACTCTTTGTCACCAATAGTCCCAGACTTGCCTAGTGCTTTTACCTCACATAAGACTTTCTTTCAACAACAGGAAGCAAGCAGGTTCTCTAAAAACAGGCTGGGCTCCTTTGTTGTGTGTATATCTTACAGGAAAGAAATGAGAAAGCATCTGCAAATAGAATCCATATGGAAATGCATATCAGAAGAGAAAACAATAACTCTATACATTTATTTTCCACAACTCTCCTAAGGCATGTTAGTCTCAGCCCAAATTTCTCCTTGTTAACTTATTATCAAACTGGCATACAGAAGCTCCCACGGATGTGTCTTTTTGGGGTATGGTCACTATACTTCCTGGTGCAGAGAATGTCATAAATGACCCATAAATACTTGTTGAATGAAGGACCCTCAGATTTTTGGGAAGGCAGAAGACCAAAGTAATAGTTTTAAATGAAGCAAACTAAATCAGTTTTATCTTTTCTTTTTTTCCCCAAAGGAATTAACTTTTGACCTTCAAAAAAGAATTAAAGAGAGTTTAGGATCTTTACCTCCCATTGAAATTTCTTCAGTAATTCATTAACACCACACTTGAAGCCAAAACATTTGCTTCCGGGCTGAATTCAGAAGCTGATTCCACAAAAAAGTCAACCCCAAATGCAGCATCTTCAGTCTCAAACAAGTCTGTATAATGCCACAAAAATAGAGGGCAGTCCTTGGATAATATGTTATCTGAAAGCTAAATGCTTTACCCTTTTCTTTATTTTTGTTGTTTGCTTAAATTGCTTTGGTAAAAGATTTGTCTGCCAGAGTTCTTCCTGGTGTAAATTTAATAGCCTAGATATTAAAACCATCAAGTTCGAGGTTAGAGAGGAAAATGCCAACCTTGCCTGTTAATGACAGCAGCCCACCCAAAGGCGTTTAAATATCATCAGCAATATCCTTGATGCTTTAACAAGTGTATTTAAAAAGCAATTAGGTATGCCAATCTCAGCCTGAAAACAATTTTAAAATAACACAAGCATTAAGTCCCCACTTCTTGACAAAGTAATGATTTGCACTGACATGATTTAGATACTGTGCATTGTCTCTGCAAAGTAATTTTCATGAGGCGGGTGAGTGCGTCCTTAGGAAGATTCATGTTACTATAGGTTCTGATTCCCTCGCCCCATTAAAAAAACAAAACTGCATATAATTGAATCTAACAATTTTGTGTAACTACCAAAAATTTTACCACTATAGGAAGTATTGATATTAGCTGCTAAAAGCTAAAACTTAATATTCATTGATCTTTGATTGTGTTTTAAGACACAGGAAAGTGGTGGAGGGTAGACAGCAGGATGGGAAAGAGAGGTGTAGATAAAGAACTTGTGGAGGAGTCTTCCTCTAGGAGGGTACACTAAGTTGAGATTGCACCAAAGATCACAGATGGGCTCAAATACCACTGAATTCTCAGGAACAGTAACTGGGAAGGATAAGTGGCAGGTAAGGCCAGGACATTCAACTAAGAGGACAATCACAATGGCTACCATCTGGACAGCAGAGCCTATGAAGAGTGTGGGGTTTAAGGCCCACCAAGTGATACTTCCCACCCTAGGACTAGGGCGCAGCCCAGGGCAGATGAAAGACCTGTATTTGAGGGAATCATTTAGCAGGGGATAGTACAAAAAGAAATGTAATGGCAAATAGGAAGGTGCAACTCTGGGTGAGGAGTTCCACAGCCAGGTCCTCTGGTCAAGCCAAAACCATGTGGCTATAGAGATCTGAAGACTTTACACCTACCTGGAACTAATGAATCTGGGAAATCATTAAATGTTTACGGTTTCACTTGTTTTCACAGAACTGTCCTGGTAAGACGAATACAACCCCTTTCTCAGATAGGATACTTGGACATTAACAAAACCTACTTCCTTCACAGTGTAGATACTGTTTCAGGCTCTGAGATCCACTTTAAAAATGCCCAGTTGTTTTTTCCTAAAAAGCAGTCATAGCTGCACAGCTATCATCATCAACACAAACAGAGGCAATAGGGCGAATGTGTTAGGAACACTGGCATCAGAGCCACACAATCTGGGTTCCAACTGACACTTCTGCCAGGTACTAGCTATGTGACTTTGGGCATGGTGATTAATTTCTCTGAGCCTCATCTGTAAAATGATGCAGCAATAATTTGAAGATTAATTAAGATAAACCATATTAAGTATTCAGCACAGTACTTGACACTGTAGACTGTTGAGGAACGATTACTGTTGTTATTATCAGACAGCAAAACCCTACACTGGACAAAGAGCTGGAATCTTGCATTTGGGCTTCAGAAGGTATAACACCCCTATAATGAAGCACAGCTACTATTCCATCTCAAAATTTTTTTGGAATATAGTAAGGTACAAATAAATATTTGACTAAATGTTGAGTCTTCTGATTCTGAACATATTTCATTTCCCTTTGGCCTCTGCCTATGTCTCAACTATTTCTAGATTGCCTCTCCTTTGAAGCAGTTTGGTATGTATTCTAGAGAAGTGTTTATTTTAATACAGGTTCAAACCAAACTAGTAATAATAAGTAAAATTATTATTAAGTAATTAGTAAAATAAGCTTCTGGGAGAAAAAAATGTATCATGGACTTCAATGTCAAATACTTTCAAATTATTCATTTGGTCAACACTCTTATGCAGATAATTGAGAAATCACTGCATACTGTAGGAGTGTAGATGTTTAGGAATTAAAATATGTGTATTGTCCAATTATATGAGACAATACCTACCCTTGAGGAAAAAGTTACTCCACCTGAAATATTCATAACTACTGTAACTTGGGGCACTCATATTAATAAGTTATTAAAGTCTTAAGTGCCAGTTCTATCAAAATGGTTTTTTTTTTCCTTCTAAGATGCTATGCAACTGTGGCCTTAAAGGAAAGGTAAATTTTGTCTCAAAACATGAAGACAGAGAGGGAAAGAAGATCAGAGCCGTAAAGAAAAGGAATAGAAGATGAAGAATAAAGTGAGGAAGAATAGCTGGCCATCAGGTACCTTGACTGGGAAAGACAGCAAACTATTCATCACACACACATCCTTCCACAAGTAACCATACGGGCTCCTGACCAATGTTGAATGACATCCAGGGGCTGCACATCAAAATAAAATAAGTCCCTGACATCCAGATGCCACAAAGCGGTTATTTTTTGAATGGCCAGGTTTAGGAACAGTTTGGTGATGATTATCTAAAAAGCTGAATAAGTATTGCTCTTCTGGACCCTGAATGTTTCACTTGCCTAGACTCTGACCTTGGTTCTTGGCTTTGTCTATGTCCAACTGCCAAAGGTTAGAATAAAAGTGCAAGGGAGCTTGCTACAGCCACTGAAGAAGTAATTACAGTAGGGAAGGGGAAGAAAGGATCACATGCAGGCTCTCGGCATTTTGGCGTTCAGGGACAAAGCTTTGGTTATGCTTGTTCCGTTGCACATTATTGAATAAGTTTAGGAGGAAAAACGGTTGTGTTTCAGCAACGGTGCTGTGGAAACGTACCGTACTCTTTCTCAGTGATGTTACATCCAGGTAGAGAGGACATCTATTTTTAAATGTTCAGTCACATAAATTAGCTTGAGCCCCAGACTATAATTTTGAAGGAAAATTAGATTGGATCTAAATAATTGAAGACAAATGGAGAAAACATTTTAATAAAACTTCATAATTTGACTCACATTTCCTTGAGCCATTAGTGCTCACTCTCATTAGAAGCATGATTACCAAGTAGTTGTGAGTATCAGCTAATAACCTGAACATTTGTGGGGCCTTTCTGCCTAGCTAAAAGCTGATTGTGTTTATTAGAACTACTTTCATCCATCTTCCCCAGCCTGAATTGTCCATTTGCCTTCTATGTCATTTTCTACCTTTTTAAAATATTTTTTGTTACAATGCATGCCAAAAATATAATACCATACATTTGTATGATGCATTTCACAGAGAACTTTCACAATTATTATTGAACCAGATCCAAAATAATTTTCATTTCTTTTTTTTTTTAATGTTTATTTATTTTTGAGAGAGAGAGAGCGCGCGTGAGCAGGGAGGGACAGAGAGAGGGGAAGACACAGAATCTGAAGAAGGCTCCAGGCTCTGAGCTGTCAGCCCAGAGCCAGACGTGAAGCTTGAACTCACAAATGGCGAGATCATGACCTGAGCAGAAGTCAGACGCTTAACCAACTGAGCCACCCAGGTGCCCACACTTCTTTGTTGTACCAACAAGCAGGTAGAATTTCTTAGATGAAAAATAATCATTATCTTCATCATTTATTTTTTATCTTATACTTTATTCATTTTTAAGTGGTAATATATTCAAATAGTTCCAGAATCAAGCCATATATAAAAACAGATGGTAAAAAGTGTCACACTCACCCCAGTTCCTACCACAGCTCCAACAGGTAATTTCTTTTACTAATTTCTTTTCATCCTTTTAGAGTTACTTTCTGCATCTGGAAGCAAACATGAATATGTATTTTTATTTCTTCCCCTTTTGTCCACAAAAGGTTGTGTATTATAGTCTGCTCTATACTTTTTTAACTTAATAATGCAGTTTATCCTAGAGATCTTTCCATATTGATTCTTCTCTTGTTTTTGTTTTTGTTTTTTAAACAGCTGTATGGTATTCCATTGTATAAATATGCCTTTGGGTTTTTTTAGCCATTTCCCTAGTAACTTATATTTAGGCTGTTTCCAATCTTTTGCTACTGCAAACAATGCTGAAATGTGTGCTTGCTGCAATATTTATTCTAAGGCCGTGCTTGTGACACTTATATCACTGCTGCCATGTATGTATATATGATTTTTCCATAACAAATCAGCATGGCACAGTAGATGCAACTATGAAAACATAGCAAGAGCCAGAAAAAATAAGCACTCTCAAGCTGTGATGTACATCTTATGTATCACGTGCTAGATGTAAACCACCACCTTCATTAAGGGCTAGAGCCCTCATATTCATTCTTTCTTTCTTTCAATAAATATTTATTAAGGGTCTGTGATAGGTCAGAGTCTGTCCTACGCACAAGAGAAACTGCAATGAATAAAGAAGACAAAGTCCTAATTTTATGGGGCTTACACCCTGTTGGAGAGACACCGAAAATTAATAAATAAATATATCACAGCATCCCTTTCTCCCTTACAGAAACCATAGGAGATCAGGTACAGCCTAAAGTTTAGGATGCCATGGTGCATAAACTGCCTTTAATACCCATAATTTAGAAAGATGTAAACAGTGGCCATTAAACCTCTTGCTTCACCAGAGCAGTGACTCACACATTTCTAATTATTTGCGAACAAGTTTTATCTTGCCTGTTTATGTTCACACTCTGTTGAGAAAACTCCAAATTATAGAGATGCTGAGTTTCAAAAAAATCAATCTATACGAGGGGTGCCTGGGTGGCTTAGTCGGTTAAGTGTCCGGCTTTCGCTTAGGTCATGATCTCACGGTTCGTGGGTTCGAGCCCCATGTCAGGCTCTGTGCTGACAGCCAGCTCAGAGCCTGGAGTCTGTTTCCAATTTTATGTCTCCCTCTCTCTCTGACCCTCCCCTGCTCACGCTGTCTCTCTCTCTCCTAGAAATAAATAAAACATTAAAAATTTAAAAAAAAAAACGAACGAACCCTGAAATCTATTTAGGAAAAAAAAATTAATCTATATGAATCTAATGTAATTCCACTCAAAATCCCAACAGGATTTTTTTATATATCTTGATCAAATGATATGAAGTCTATCTTGCCCTACCTGGTGTAAAATACACTATAAAGCTACAGTAATTAAAATGGTATGCTATTAGCAAAGAAACTTAGGTTGATAGGTGAGAAGAGATAAAGGAAGGTATTCTTAAATTGACTCATGGGAAATTGCTGTTTGTAGAGGTCAAAAATGGATGAAAATTGGCAACTGTACATGGTGCAGTCAAGATAAGGGTAACATTTCAAATAGGTAGAAAAAAGACAAATTATCTCCAAATGTTGCCTATCTGTTTGGGGGAAGAGAAACTCAATTAAATCCTTATCTCATACCAAACATAAAAATAAGTTATTTATCAGGTGCATTAAAGAAGTAAATATTAGAAATATACACAAATATACTTTAGTTAAGGTAGTTAGTGGCTATGACAGATGAATCCCCAAATCTCAGTGGCTGAAATTCACATATAAGTCAGAACAAGTGTTTTTGATCAAGTAGTTCTTTTTCAAGGAGTGATTCAGTTCCAGGCACCTTCCATCCATATTGTGGTTCTACTGCCTTCAATACACAGCACCCCATTTCTCCCTGGGGGCTGTATCCATTACAGCCAACTAAAAGATAAAAAGAGCATAAACGATCACACAGGTAAGTGCCAGAAGACGGTAATTTGTCTCTGTCCACATTCCATTAGTCATATCTCATATCTCAACTGTATGGCCATCCCCAGTTGTAAGGAAGATTGGGATATAGTCTGGCTGGGTGCCCAGGAGGAAAAGGAAAGAGTTTGCTGAACAGCTAGCCATTTCTGCCTCATTTATACATTTTTATTCAGAAGAAAAGCAGGAGGATATATTTGTAAGCTTATGGTAAGGAAAAATTTCTTAAGCCAAAAAAGTGGAAAAAAAAAAAAAAGAAAAATTGGCAGACTTGACTTCATTAAACAGAAAAACCTAACCATAAAAGACACCATAAACAAAGAAACAGAAAGCAAATATTTACAACATATAAAGCAAAAGATCAACATTCCAGAATAACAAAAGTTACAAATGGCCAATAAATATATGAAAAATGTTCAATTTTTCACTAGAATCTCACTAGAATCAATGAAATGTATGTTCAAACAACAAGTGAACACGTTTTTACCCATCAGATTTGTTTTAAAAAAATTAATGTTTAAAACATCCAGTAATTTCTCTTCTAGATATCTACCTTACAGAAATGCTTCCCAAAATGTTCAAGGTAGAATGAAGAATGTTTTGTAGTGTCATTTATAATAAAAGATTAAAAACAACATAAGTAGCAATAGAGAAAAGGATCAATGTAAATGGAATATTGTGCTGCAATTTTCTGAAGATCTAGATATACAACATGGAAGTTTCTCCAAACATACTAAATGAAAAAGTAAATCACAGGATAATATATACAGCATGAACTTCTTTTTGCATATACATATGTAATTCCTAGTGTAAGTGTAGAGATGGGGTACCTGAGTGGCTCAGTCGGTTGAGCATCCAACACTTGATTTCGGCTCAGGTCATGATCCCAGGGTCATGGGATTGAGGCCCGCTTTGGGCTCTGCCCTGAGTATGCAGCCTGCTAAAGATTTTTTCTCTCTCTCTCTCTCTCTCTGTCTCCCTCTGCCCCTATGCCCCTCTCTCCCACTTGCGTGTGTTCTCTCTCTCTAAAATAATAAATAAATAAATAAATAAATATGTGTAAATGGGTAGAAAATTAAATATCTCAACAGATACACACCAATCTGTGAGATAAGTGTTTGCCCCCAAGGAGGGAAGTAAAATGACAACATAGGAAAGAAGGATAAAAGGGAGTCTTCTCCTTATTTAATTGTATTCTTTCAATTTTCATAGGTATATATAATGTGTCCCCTGTACAAATAAAAATTGTGATGGAATTTTTTAGGAAGTAAAAAATAGTAACTTGACTTCTGGTTTCTGGTTCTGCGTGTAAGAATCTCAGAAGTCGCCACTCTATCCTAAGAAGTAAAAAGCACAACAAACTGAAAAAATAATAACTCTTATTAAGATCCCTAAGAGAGGCAATGACACAGAGCAAACAACTGTCCCCAAGATTGGAGACCCAAACAGGTGAACACAAGGAGTCATGGCTTAACAGAGCTGCCTTACAAGGGGAAACCATTGTAGGAAACAGTGCCGATGCAAGAAAATCTGAACTGTAATTGGCAAATTGCTGCAGGTTCAGTGTGCAAGAGGAAAATACCAGGGGACCTAGTCATAGGGGTTACTCTCATGGTTTTGTGAGATTTACCTCCAAGAGTTTGATCAGATTCTCACAGTAAATATCAAAGAGAAATCCCCTCATGCTTCTGGTAGAGGAAAGGGTAAAGGAACCATTATGAAATAGACCAGAATACTCTATTCTTCTCAACAAGGCCTGCCCTCAGGACAAACTTAACCAGAATCTATCCTGGAGAATTGTCATCTCTTTTCTGGGGAAATGGAAATATTCAGCCCTAGTCCAAATCAAACTATAGAAAATGAAAGTTAAAGAAAAAGCCCTGAGGAGCACCTGGCTGGCTCAGTCTGTGAAACATGCAACTCTTGATCTCTGGGTTGTAAGTTCAAGTCCCACATTGGGTGTAGAGATTACTTAAAAATAAAATCTTAAAAGAAAAAGAAAGAGTACTGAAAGAAGTCAGAGGGAACAAAAATATCCTACCTATATAGGGGCAAAAGATAAGAATTCCAAAGTTTATATTAAGAGGCAAAAGATCCAGAATAGCCAACTCAATACAGAAGAGGAGAAAAGTTGGAGAACTGACACTACCCAATTTCAAGACTGACTATAAAGCTACAGTAATCAAGACAGTGTGGTATTGGCAAAGGGATAGACAAATTGATTAATGAAACAGAATAGAGAGCCCAGAAATAGGCCACATAACTATACTCAACTGATCTTTGAGAAAGAAAGAAGGCAATACCCTGAAGCAAAGATAGGCTTTTCAACAAATGGTGCTAGAAAAACCGGATATCCACTTGCAAACAAACAAACAACAACAAAAAAAATGAGCCTAGACACAGACTTTGCACACTGCTCAAAAATTAACTTAAAAAAGGTCATAAACCTAAATGTAAAATGCAAAACTATAAAACCCTAAGATGATAAAATAGGAGAAAACCTAGATGACCCTGGGTACAATGATGCCTTTTCAGATACAACACCAAAGTCACAATCTATGAAAGAAACAACTGATAAGCTGGACTTCATTAAAATTGAAAACATCTGTTTTACAAAAGACAATATCAAGAAAATGAAAAGATATACTATAGTCTGAAGAAAATATTTGTAAAAGATACATCTGATAAAGGACTTACCCAAACATACAAAGAACATACACAATTCAACAGTATAAAACAAACAACCCAATTTAAAAATGGGCCAAAAACTTTAATAGACATCTCACCAAAGAAAATATACAGATGACAAATAAGCATATGAAAAGATGACATTAGGGAAACGCAAATTAAAAAAACAGTGAGATACCACTACATATCTATTAGAATGGACAAAATCCAGAATACTGACAACACCAAATGCTGGCAAGGACTGGAGTACAGAAACTCTCATACATTGCTGGTGAAAATGCAAAATGGTACTGCCACTTTGGAAGACAGGCAGTTTCTTATAAAACTAAACATACTTTTACCATATGATCTAGCAATCATTCTCCTTGGTGTTTACCCAAAAGTGCTGAAAATATGTTCACACAAAAATCA